GATACCTCCAAAAAACTACTTGTAGCAACATTACTAGTATCACTCAATTCATAGCTATCTAAACTGAAACTTTCATCGTTTATTTCATTAAAATCATTGAAAAAACTATCGTATTCCATTTTATTTTGATATAAACAATACCAGTAATGTTGCAAGGAGAAAAATATCATAAAAAATATTATAAAATTTTAAAGAAACATGTAAAGGTGTTAAAGGAATATAAAAAAAAAAAATAGTGGGTTTTTTTTAATTACCTTAAATAGTTACATTTAAATATAGTTAAACTGCTGATTTTTATTTGACCTGACTAGGTTTTAAAACTTAAAATCCATATCTGATCCATATACAAATGGATCAAAAAATTTAAAATCTGACCTGATTCATTTGAATCAAATCCGTGGATTATTTGAATTCAGATAAAAATTGCGATCCCTACTCCCAGGTCACAATTACAAGGTCCAAAGTTCAATACCACACAAGAGCCAAGTGAAATTTAGCCATTAGTGGTATAAAGATCTTATCTATTTCATAGTGACAATCCAGTATTCCAATATAGCCATAACAAGGAATTGACTACTTATTATGCCCATAACAAGACATAAAATCAGTCCGGTGTGCAAACTGACTATTATAACAGTTTCTAATAAGACAAGACTAAATAATATGACATCCTTAATCAAGACTGATCCCTTATTTGAGTAGCAAAGTTGAGTAGCAAAGCGTTTTGTTATTTAAGAAACCACAAGACAGGTTCCTCAAAAGAGGCAAAAATGGGTTGCTACAAAAGACAAGTGATAACAAAAACAAAACAGGTTCTACAAAAAAATGTATGCATTAACAGGAGTTATAAAAATTCTGTATAAGAAATTCTGACATCGATGGTACTAGACATTTTAGACAAGTTCTTGATACATTAGACTCCCTTCACAGGAATAGCAATAAGTTATTCGGTGGACTATGGTTTTAGGGAGTATCGATTCAGTTGGACGAGAGTATGTAAACATAAGTTTAAAACTAGATGGTTTATTATTAAATTGATAGGTTAAAACACCCTCAGTATCTCTAATTTTATTAAAAATTAAGAAAAATCCTATACTAGACAGTTACATAATTCTCTTATCCTGGTTTGGTGAGACGTAAATAGATGCCCCTTGTACTATTTGTTAATTTGTAAATCCTTAGACAGTATGGGTAATTACTCATTCCGGTTGTTCTTAGGATCTATCTTAATAATTAATAAAGGTTCCAATGCTGGCGCAGAAATGAGCTAGCATGTTTAAAAAAAAAAAATTAAAAAATAAAAATCTATATAACTTAGAAAATATTTATTTAATATTTTAATAAAGATAAGCTATAATAATATGACAGTGAATTAAAAAATATATATCTAACTATTGCATAAAATTTTATATATTAATTTACAATTAATCAAGACATTCAATTATAGATAAATAATAATATTATAATAATAATTTAATAATATTTAATTTTAAAAATTATTTATTGTTTATTTTTATTATTATTTAGATATTAAGTATTGTAATTTGATTTTTATATTATAATAATATTATTAGATATTATTATTATTTGAAATAATTATTTATATCATTTATCTATATGCAGTATAGCAATAAAATTTTGAAAAATAAATTAAATATAAAGAATTCTAATAAATTTACTAAAAACCTCAATGTAGCAGAATTTTTTCCCAGAACCTAAGGCTACACTATACCGAAATTCGCTGCGCAAAATTTTAAATTAAATTTTTGAAGTTTTTTTTAAATACTCATGAATCTTAAAAAATTTTCAAATTATGCGTAATTTTGAAATTTATCAATGTATTACATAATGCAACTTAATAAATTATTACTACAATAATGCTAATTACGTACAGTATAACGATATTACTAGACCAATATTTTAAGAACGCGTCTTAAGATTTGGCGGTTGTTTAAAGATATTTCATAGGCGTGGACAATCGAAATTCGAATTATAAATAAAATATCATTTTGTTGAAGCCAAATAGTTAATCCGCCATGTCTGCGGTTATTATATTATGTATTTAGCCTACGCCGTATTATCATCGATCAAGAAATCTTCATCAGTTTATTCTAACAAATAAAAAATCAGTTCTAGTTTGTTTGTCTATTATGCATTTCTTAAGTAAAATTGAATATTCCCGAAGCATAACTTATGTGAAACGAATATATGCTAGAACCTATTTTACCAGTATAAAATTAGTATAAATTCGTCAAATATTTTCTTTTCACAGTTCACCCGCGTAATTTCTTTCCTTAAAATGACGCGTGCTGTTTTTATCATCTTACCTGCAGCATTCCTAATAACTTTATCTTTCCTTTTCACTTTATCGTCTGCTGCGACCATCTCACCGGCTATGGCGAATAATGAAAAAGAAAATTCAGAGTTTCCTCCATACACCGTAAAGCGTGTTGAGCACATGAACCTTCCAGAAAAAGGTTATCTTTATGAAATGCAAGAATCCACAAAACCTGCTGGTTCAAACTTTCCTGATATCGACAGTGTATCTTCCCATGTTGAATCAGACTCGGAAGTTGAGGATTCGGCGCTGCTCTGGTTAAATCTTCTTGGAAAAGTCTACAACGTGCGTAGAAAAATTTATTACGTGAAAAAAACCGAAAATCTTTTAACATTTATTGGGCGCAAATTCTATTCAGTTTGTTATAAGGGTTTGGTACCTTCGTGTAGATATGTTGTTATCTGAATGGTGTTCATGTATTTTTATCTAATTTAGACGACGACTCTTTGTAAGGATTGCAAGGGTAAGGGGGAAAAGGAATAGCATTCTGTGCCTTACCGGTTAACGTGAATTACATCAGGCGTTATTTCATTATGAACAATATAAATTTCTTTTGTTGTCGAAATAAAAAGATGTGGGTAAGCCGAAACCAAGGACAGAATTACATTTATTCTCTGTTAAAAGGAAATGCGGTAAATGTTGAAAGTTTTAAATTAATTAAACTTATTAATAGATACTGAACCATTTTAAAGAAGCTATGCATTCAAACAAAAAATTTTTTTATTTGCTATTTTAAAATGTATAAAAATAAATTACTATGTATAATAAAATATTTTTATAAGACAGAGGACTCCAGACTAGAGTATTTCGAAAAGTTATTTTATCAGTTGAGTAAAAAAAAAATTTTTTTTTTTTTAATCCACAACCATGTCATATGGCTTAATTTTTATTAAAAAGTTTATGTAACTATCTACAATATTGCAGATTTTTTACATAATAACTAACTCATTATTGCATCAAAGTACTCTTGATATAAACTTCTATTCTTTAGGTTCATTGCCAATAGTTTGTTACTATAGATTACCCAAAAATCATAAATTTCTAAGTTAATAAAGGAAAATGAGAAAAAAAAAAAGATAAAGGAATACAATTCAAGTTGAAACTTTTTTTTTAGTTATCAATGACATTATTGAAACATGTGAATATAGTTAATAGGAGCTTGTTTATATATATATATATATATATTAAAACCTTCTGTCAAACTAGATATATGTACTTTAAAAGCAATTCAATAAAAACTCTTTTCGCTGATCCTCCTTTTTTTCAAAAATTTTCTTTTTTGGTAATTTTCTTGAAAAAAGTGAAACAGTTCAAACACACAAGGAAAACAACATCTCCTTTGAATCAAGCT